AAGGTCATCATTGTGGTGAGATCGTGAGGACAAGAGGTGTTAACTGAGATTAGGGTGTGCATGTGTGCAGAGCTCGAACCAGGAGCCAAGTCAAACAGCAGTGCTGGTATTTACTCTGTCGGTTAGCAAGCGACACGCACACGCTAACAGACAAAGGGAAGGGTGAGGCTGCGCACCATACGGGTACTTGTGAATTGTGAACAGTGGATAAAATCTTTCAGTGTTTATCACGTAGCTGAAAGCTAGAGAAAGGTTCAGGGCCTCGTGTTTGTTCAGGTGACGTTCTGGAGCCCGTCGCTGCTCATGCGAGCGCTAACAGACCGCGCTGGTGCTGCTAGGTCATGCCAGCCTGTGCTGCTCCTGCCAGCTGCTATCTCGAACCTGCCAAACGGAGGCAAACATTACGGCACCACAGGGATTTCAGCATTCTTTAAGTTCCACGTGCATGAAAAGAAAACCTCAGAGGGGGGAAAGAGAGACAAAAAGATCAGGATTGCACAGACTGGCAGCAACAATCCCAAAGTATTCACCTGGAAAACAGAAGTGCCGAGCACGATGATAGAAGGTGGAAGTTAATTACTCTACTTTGGCTGAGTTTAAGAAATCTCAGTCAGAAGCAACATCGTCACAGAAGATTTTCATTTCCTTCTGCAGTATTCGACAGCATGCCTCAGTGCTCGGCGTGCACCTGGGAAGCCTGAAGCATTGAGGACTGTTTGTCACTTACTCTGCACACAGACATCTGGTTGGTGGTGAGGGTGCCCGTCTTGTCAGAGCAGATAACGGAGGTACAGCCCAGGGTCTCCACAGACGGCAGGCTCCGGACGATGGCGTTCTTCTTGGCCATGCGACGCGTGCCGAGGGCCAGGCAGGTGGTGATGACGGCCGGCAGGCCCTCGGGGATGGCGGCCACTGCCAGGGCCACTGCAATTTTAAAGTAATAGATGGCCCCTCGAACCCAGGAGCCCCCGTGGACCGGGTCTCCGAAGTGGCCGATGTTGATGACCCACACAGCCACGCAGATCAGGGAGATGACCTTTGAGAGCTGCTGGCCGAACTCGTCCAGCTTCTGCTGCAGCGGTGTCTTCTCTTGCTCCGTCGACGCCATCTGATTACGGATCTTCCCGATCTCTGTCGAGACACCCGTAGCGACGACGACACCTATGGCACGACCGGCAGCAATGTTTGTGCCCTGAGAGAAGGAGACATACGCACAGGAAATCAGCACAAACCCGCCGTCGGGAGAAAACAGACAAACTCCGATACCAGCTCACAAACAGCAACATGGCCGATTACTCCGAGTTTGGCCACGAGACAAGTGATAGCTGCCATTACTGCATTTGACTACGTGACCAAATATAAGCTTTGTCTGTGACAACGTGAGTTTTTGATTTGAAAGCTGAAGATAAGATGAGTCGGGGTTCTTACAGAAAACAACATGTTCTTTTTGTCCTGGTTGACGGCTCGAGGGTCAGGAACAGGGTCGGTGTGTTTGATGACAGACACAGACTCTCCTGCAGAAAACAAATCGAGACGGTTGGAGGTGTAGCAGGTGATTATCAGACCGTGTTTCAAAGCAAACACAGTGAGGAGAAAAACATCAGAGGAGCTTCTGCTGAGATGTAACAAATACCTGTGAGAATGGACTGGTCCACGCGCAGGGTGGTGGACTTTATCGAGGTCACTCTGATGTCAGCAGGCACCTTGTCACCAACTAAAAGGAAAATATTAAGAGATTTAAAATCAAATGTAAAAAAGCAAGCAGCTCTGTTGGGCTAGACAGCGACTTCCTGTGTTAGCACTTTTACATCACTCCATCAGGAGTTACAGATAACTGAAGTTAGGGGTGGCTGCAGCTCAGAGCGGGTCACTGTTAATGTGTGTGACCGGTTTATAGAAAGCAGTTAGGGGTTAAAAACGTGCCTGTATGACAGCGTGTGGAAGAGCACCTGCAGACAGCTCAATGATCATTTCTCTATTTGAAAACCTTGATCTGCTCGTGCTCTCCTGAAAACGATTCACATTCTGCTCCCATCACAGAAAGACAGTTCAAGGGAGCCTTAATCCTCAGACGACTATGATCGATGCAGTATTAGTACTGTACAAATACACACGTCAGTAAAGGGTGTTGGGGCAGCTGCAGCTCAGGAGGTAGAGCGCGTCATCTGCTAATCAGAAGGTTGGTGATTCGATCCGGTCTGCAGGACAAATATTAGCATCTTAGTGGAAAGATGGCCAAGATGCTCCTGAGGAGCTGGGATGTGTGTGAATTAGGGGTGGACGATATACGATAGAAACGATATACATTTGGCCAACGATAGAGATTTTGACACTATCGCTCTATCGCGATAGCGCATGTTGACGATGTCATCAAGCTGCGCCTGTTTTGGTCGAAAGCATCGCAGCGGCTAAAACCATTATCATCTGCAAAT